CCGGCGTGAGTTTAAGCCACCGGGTCTGGGATGTGAACCGTGGTCGACTAGGTGGGAGTCCAGCGACATGGCCATTACGCTAACTGCTGGTTCCCTTTATTTAGTATCTTACAAATTTTTTAAAGTTTTTGTTTGTTTGTTTGTTTGTTTTTTCCCCATGGGTTGCATCCACTTTGCCAAAGAGGAGAGAGACAGAAAGGTACAGAGAGAGGAGAAGTGATCAGTCGCCCCCGTCCCCCCCCCACGGGATGGCCATACGGAAATTCCTTCTCCTCCATACTCCTCTTGGGATCTGGGGCATACAAGCACACGTGCCTGGTGTGATCTGCAAGCCACTGGGTCCGGGACTGGAACCATGGTCAGCCATATGGGAATCCAGCCACGTTAACCACTGTGCCAACTGCTAGCCCTCTATTTTTAATTTTTATATTTTCAATTGTCAAAAGATGATATGCTCTCCAGAGTGAGAGAGACAGAGACAGACAGGGAGAGAGAGAAAGCACCCCCTTATGGGGTGTGGTCACAACACAATCCCTTTCTGTCTCCCCATCCGGCAGGATGGTTATTACTCCCGTATGTTGGCTTTTATAATCTTGATTCGATAATACATCAGATTTAGATGCCACAGTCTTGGCTGGGAGTATTTACCGACCCTGCGTGACCACCCCCCTCCCCCATGCTGGGAACCGTCAGTGACAGGAAGTGAGGCTCCTGTGATCCCCACTCAGTTCTCAGCCAGAACTGGGTCTCTGTGCTGGACTGGGCCAAGTCACACAGACCTGGGCTAGCAGACGTGTAAGTCATTCGACCTGACCCCAGATGCTTCCTGTCCTTAAAATGGGGGTCAGGATCCCCGTGGTCGAGTGCCGAGTATGAGGTGCAGTACTGTCAGTAACCAGCTCGCGCATGCCCCTGGGCTGCATTCTCTCTGCAGGGGTGAGGAGGGCAAGGCGGGGAGCACGTGAGACAGGGAAGTGGGCGAGTGTGCAGGGCACGAGGGAGGCTGGGGGTCGCTGTGAACTATTGTAGTTATTTTCCAGGAGCTGACGAGCACCTCCTATATTATGGCTAGTCCTTCCTATAGTATGGCTCATAAATGGACGTTTCTCTTTGTGGATTTTAGCAGGACCTGCTGTCGGCAACTCCCCAAAGGATGAGCTCACTGAGCCCAGTGCTGGGGGGACACATACAGCGCGGCTCTTCCCTCATACAGACTCCCGGGACTGCTACAGAGCAGATAGCAGCCAGCCCCAAAGCAAAAGCAAAACCAGACAGCTCAGACCTGACACCTCAGGGACCAGCAGTTAGCGTAATGGCTATGTCGCTGAACTCCCATGTAGCTGACCGCGGTTTGAGTCCCAGACCCGACCGCTTACACTCACACTGGGTGCGTGTGCGTGCGTGCCCAAGATCCCGAGAGGAAAATGGAGGAGAAGGGATTGAGGCGTGGCCATCCCCTCTGGGGGAGGGGGTGATTTCTCACTTTCTGTCTCTCTGTCTCTCTGTGTCTTTCTGGCGAGTGCATACGCCCTATAGCAAAAAGAAAAAAAGAAAAAAAAAGAGCTGACACCTGAGGGGCTGCTCCAGAAACCAGATTTGATGATGGACTTCAGCTTCCCGTCTCCAGTTCCCGCACGAAGCACCAAGTTAACGTCCCAGATCCGGGCAGGCTGCACATTGAACTGGTTTAGATGTGTCAGGTCAGGAGTGTCAACAGCAATAGAAATAGCTCCATCGTTAATAGATAGATTTAAAATAGCCTGTAAAAGCCTTTATTTTTCTCATTGCAAATGTTAAGCATGTTCATTCTAGAAATTTTGAAAGCCAGATAAGAGCATTTAAAAGAAAATGAGAGGGACCAGCGAGTGGCATAGCAGTTATGTCACTGGACTCCCACTTGTTCGACCGTGGTTCGAGTCCCAGACCTGGAGGTTTGGGACTTATGCCAGGCGTGTGTGTGTGTGTGTGTGCATGCCCAAGAGCACGGGAAGAAAGTGGAGGAGAAGGGATTGCAGCATGGCTTCCCCCCAGGGGGTGATTTCTCGCTTTCCCTCTCGCTGTCTCTGTCTCACTGGTGACCTCACTGTGTCTCGCTCTCCAGCCTTCCTCAGTGTCCAAGTACATGCCACTTTATAGAATGAAGATTAGGGGTAAATACTTAAACCGTATACAGGAAATGGCATCTTCAGTTCTTTCTGAGCTTGTTTACCGATTATCTGACACTTCTGAACTCTGCCATTTCGAATTCCATGAAAAGACTTTCTCAAAGTTCTAAAGGATCCTAAAAGCTACCACATCACATGCATCAGAGATCAATGGAGAGCTCTTTGCTCTTTTTTTCTTTCTTTTTATAAAATTACTAAAAGGGTCTTACATTTGCCAGTAGTAGGGAGGGAAAGTGAGAAAGCACCCCTCAGGGGGGATGATCACACCAAAATCCCTTCTCTCCAGTCTCCTCTTGGGATTTTGGGCACACATGGACGTACACCTGATGTACGTTTTTAAAAATGTATTTTACATGCTTTCCCTGAACATCACCACAGCATACAAAATGTGATTCTCCAGCCAGAATATGCTGTAAAGTGGTTTAATCATACATGTTATCCTCAACAGCTAGTTTTCCATTTCTTGTTTCTTGTATGTATATACATGTGTGTGTGTGTGTGTGTGTGTATACATATATATATATTTCCCCCCTATTTCTCACCCTCTGCCATTTCTCATCCTCTTCCCACCCTGTCTCTGTTTTCTGCAGTTGCCTTCCATTCCTTTATTCTTTATCACATTGTGTTAATTCACAAGATATCTTAATCTAAATACTTTCCATAGTAAGTTCAGCTGATAAATACGTATCTGTGAACAGAAATTGACTTGAGGCATGCAGTTCTGCCAAGCCTCTGGGTCTGGGACTTGAGCTGCATGGCTGCCCATGTGGGTCCAGCTGTCTTAACCACCACGCCAATGGCTGGTTCTAGGAGCTTTGGTTTTTTCAGGTTTTGCCATAGGGTGCATGTGCTCGCCCAGGGAGAGACAGAGACAGAGAGAGGGAAAGTGAGAAATCACTCCCTGGGGGAATGGCCACACTGTAATCCCCTCTCCTTCATTCTCCTTGGGGCTTTTTTTTTTTTTTGAGAGGTTTTTGCTATAGGGCGCGTGCACTCACCAGACAGACAGAGACAGAGAGACAGAAAGCGAGAAATCACTCCCAGGGGGGATGGTCACGCCGCAATCCCTTCTCCTCCATTCTCCTCTCAGGATCTTGGGCACGCAAGCACGCGTGCCTGGCATGAGTTTTAAGCCACTGGGTCCGGGACGTGAACCACAGTCGACTACATGGGAGTCCAGCGACATAGCCATTACGCTAACTGCTGGTCCCCATATGTGTTTTCTGAAACCTTTTGGTGCTTTGGATAACGAGCCGATCATAACACTGAAGTGCTGGAAATGTGAGGAAAATGCTCAGCAGGTAGAAATCTTAGTGAGTGTCCTGTTGATGGACTCTGAATGGCACCGAGTACACGGCCAACATCTAGAAAGGATGATGTGGATCGATGTGTTTCCCTCCTACCTCACCTACATAATAGCTTCAGGTCCTGCAGCGTGTCAAGTTAACAGTGTTGGCTGTTTAACAAATGACCAGTCATTAAAGCAAATTAATTTGGGGAGGCCAGCATAACATTCTTGGGTTAATTCTTTTTTTTTTTTTTGGAGTGGTTTTTGCTATAGGGTGCATGCTCTCACCAGACAGACAAAGAGAGACAGAGAGACAGAAAGCAAGAAATCACCCCCCAGGGGGGATGGTCACACCGCAATCCCTTCTCCTCCATTCTCCTCTCAGGATCTTGGGCACGCATGCACATGCGCCCGGTGTGAATTTAAGCCACCAGGTCCAGGACTTGAACTGTGGTAGACTACATGGGAGTCCAGTGACATAGCCATTATGCTAACTGCTGGTCCCACTTGGGTTAATTCTTTCTGACTGGGTTTCCCCATTCAGTTCATTTTATCCTCTTCTGCCAGATCAATTTACTCTTTCAACAGGTATTTACCGAGTGCCTGTGGTGCGCCAGACACTGCCCTACGCACCAGGATAATGGTAGGGAACAAAACGGGCATCAGTCCTTGTTTTCAGGGAGTGGAAGACGCGTAGTAAACAAGTACAGTTAGTATATAATTTCAGGTATTGGCAAGCGCTCTGGAGAAAATCAAAGCAGAGTACAGTAGGGTGACTGTGTACGTGCATGTATGTGTGTACGCGTGTGTAAACAGTGGCACTGACACGGAAACAGAGTGGCTCTGTGTGTCAGTGCAGCCCTCCGATGGGTGGGCCGGGTCTGGCAGCCCCAGGAAACCCAAAGAAGACGTGGCCTGCCGAGTGGGCGTGGCCTGCCGAGTAGGCGTGTCCTGCCGAGTAGGCGCGGCACCTGTGCTGGAGGCTTTGGGAGTAACGTCCTCTGCCCTCACAGGCTCGTGGTGCCCAAACTGCACCAGGTGGCAAGCACACAGGGCAGGGGAGATGATCTCGTTAACCCACAGGTGTCCTAACTCTGCCCACACCTTTGAAGCTGAACCGATGAGAAGGTGCGGGTTCTCATAGATGGGCACGTGAGAAGCACTTACAAACTGCCCACTTTACAGATGGGATCGTTACCAGCCAAACGCACAGTGGAACGGCCGCAGGGGAGGGTGATTTTAATGTGACCCCCAAAGTTCACGTGGTTAACTTTGGTGAGCCACTGGTAGTCTGAGAGGGTGGAAACTTAATCCGGTTTTGGTGTTGAAGGGCGGGGAAGGGATTCTTCATCAGAGTGGGGCTCCCGTGACTGGATCCCCTTGGGCTGGCCAGGAGACGTGGACAGGGACACACACGCTCCATTCTGTTCCAGCTGTCACCACGCGATGCCCTCCACCACGGTCCCCACCAGCAAGAAGACCCGACACCAATGCGACCCTGGCCCTTGGACCTGTGCACTGTGAGCCGAATAAACCTCGATTCTCGTAAGTCCCTCGGACTCTGGGATTTCTGTTATGACCAGAACAGGGTGTAACGAGCGTGTTGTGTACCTAGGTCAGAACACAATCGTTAATGGGAAAGAAGAAAAAACACACTTTATTCATTGATTCCGCTGCCCAGCTTCTCTTCACATTTTTTCCCAATGAACAAATGGCTTTTGATTTCAGTATAAAACCAACTTTTATTTAGCTTTCTAAACTCTTGGTATCATCTTGAAAATGCAAAAAAGAACATCAGGGTTAAACAGAGGACAAGGATGCAAAAGCCCTCCATCCACGGGGCCCCTCGCTTCTGGGGTGAACCTGCTGCTCTACTCCAGCCCAAGGGAGTAGTTAATGCCTTGGACTAGTCCGATCACCACGGGCTGCCAGGCCACCAAATAGCGAAGCCAGTCGAGGATCTGCCCGTACAGAAAGTGCGTGCGCTCCCAGCTGCGTCTCAGTTAAGGAGCTTGTTTTACATGCGGCCAAGGAGCTGTTATTTTGCAAATATAATACACAATCTAATGAAAGGAAATCTCCTCTCTCATCACTTCTCATGCTCCACTGAAAGCCTCCGACATGATTTTCACAACATTATGGTTATCGCTATTACTTACATCACACTTGATTTCCAAAAGTGCAACTGCACAATAAAATCCCGAACCATAAGGCAACAATAAAAGGCAAGAGAATAGTTCAAAGAAGAACGAGGAGGGCCGTGGGAGACCAAGGGCAGAGGGAACCAGCACGGGGGAGCAAAACCCCAGCCCTGGGCTGCCCTGTGGTCACCACATTGGAGGGAACTCATCGTCTATTACGAAGAATGACACTTGTTCTCCACGGAAGCCCTACTTTTTTTTCCTGGCGTGTTTGCTAAATTATGTAAATGAATTTATGCACAGTCTCTCTGAGGGAAATTTTACAAACAGGATGGCTGCCTTTTCACATGTAACTTTTGAGAGTCTTAATAAAAAGAACAAGTCAGGGACCAGCAGTTAGTGTAATGGCTATGTCGCTGGACTCCCATGTAGCTGACCGTGATTCGTGTCCTGGACCTGGTGGTTTAAACTCATGCCAGGTGTGTGTGTGTGCGTGCCCAAGATCCCGAGAGGAGAATGGAGGAGAAGGGATTGCGGTGTGGCCATCCCCCCTGGGGGGTAATTTCTCGCTTTCTGTCTCTCTCTCTGTCTCTGTCTGGCAAGTGCACATGCCCTATAGCAAAAACCTCTCCAAAAAAGGAAAAAAAAAAAAGAACATGTCATATTCACCAATCTGTTCTTTTGAGATGACATGGACACAACCTGCCCTTGGTTGCTTAAATGATCACTTAAGGTGACATTTATGAACATATTATCACCAATTTTATAACAAAGATTTATGTACTGTTGTTTTCCAAGTTATTAAACAGAAGCTGTTTGGACTTGTCTCCTCAATTAGATGGGGAATTGAGGGCCAGCGGGTGGAAAGGAAGGAGGAAAGGTCACCCACCGTCAGCCTCGAGTTGTGCGAGTGGCGCTGACGGACTGAGAAAGCCACCTGTGGGTGGGGTGGACCACGCAGAGGATGGTCTCTGTTGCCATAGCAACAGCCTCAAGACCCCCGAGACCCACGGATGCTGCTGCCTCCTCCTCTGAGGGCCTACTCGGAAGTCTCCTCTGGACTGAGGAGCTCGGAGATGGGGGCGTCACTTCCAGGAGCCACTGCGAAGCACGCCCTAGGGTTGGGGAGCATGAGCGTGGGCAATCTCGGGTGTCCGTTATTCTGACAATGTGAGAAGGCGGTCTCCGGTGGGAAGAGAGAACTGGACAGTGACACCAGCCTCTCAGCACTCTCCTTTTAAACGTTTTTTATTAGTAGTGTTTTTCTGAGAGATTTTTGCTATAGGGTGCATGCCCTTGCCGGAGAGTCAGAGAGAGACAGAGAGACAGAAACCAAGAAATCACCCCTAGGCCACTCCACAATCCCTTCTCCCCTCGGGATCTTGGGCATGCACACGTGACTGGTGTGAGTTGTAAGCCACTGGGTCTGGGACTCAAACTGTGGTTCACTACCTGGGAGTCCAGGGATGGAACCATTACGCCATCCGCTGGTCCCGCCTCTCAGTGCTCTTCTACAGAGACACATTTCAACCCTACTCAGGCCAGGGAGGAGAGAGAGATGGTCCTGGACTGTGAGACTGAGGGCCACACCTTTCTGGTCAGCTCTGGACGGAGGCCGCTGCCTTCCTGGGACTTTAATGAGACTTGGCTTGATTTAGTCGGGCCTCCCCGGAGTCTCTAAAAACCCTAGTTGACGCCATAGCTGATCAGGTGTGTAGGTCTTTGTTTCCGGTCCATATTATTATCACTAGGATTTCGTTTAAGAGGAGATAAAGTATAGCAAGGAATATAAAAAGCCAAAATCCAGAAGGGAAGGAAACAATCATTGCTGGGAATATGGGCACTCCTCACTTAGTGACCAAGTCCCAGGCCCTCAACTAGGTCGTTACGTGAACTGGCCGGTACATGAGGAGCTCAAAGGCCGATGTCTTGTACTGTGTCATGGCGCCATAGGGTACGGGAATGTACTAGAAGGTACTAGAATGGTGGCATTCTACCCACACAGAAAGCACACTTCAGGGAAGTACGGGAAAGTGACAAGACACGACACGACACGTTAATACAACTCCAGCGTAATCGTGCCTATTTATTCTGAGTACTACTGTGGGGGCCCAATAAAGTACAAATTTATAAGGGAAACATGTAGCCTCGTTTCATGTGGTGAATGCTAACCAGCGGTGGGATGAGACAGAGCCTGAGAAAGGGAGTCCCTGCGCTGGAGACCTGGTCATCAGTCCAAACAGTCGTTGAACAGGTAAGTCACAGGGGACGGGTGACTCACTTATTAAAATTTGGTATACCTAGGGCCGGCAGGTGGCACGGTGGTTGAGGGTGCTGGACTCCCACATGGCAGACCACAGTTCAAGTCCCAGACTTGGTGGCTTGTTTTTTTACTCTCCCCCCCCCCCTCTGTTCCTCTCTGGTCAAATTAAAATAAATAAATAAGTAAAAAAATGTTAAATAAAATAATTCTTTAAAAAATTAAATTTGGTACACCTCAAAAATATTTTCTTTTCAATTTCAGTTGAATTTATATATTCACCCACTTACCCACCCACCCAACCCACCCATTTACCTATCTATCCTCTTGATTATTCTTCCATATATTTTACCTATCTTTTGGGTCTTATCATATTGCCAGTAAAGCCCTAAATATGGAAAAGCATGGAGTGTTTCTGGCATTTCACTTCCTAACAAGAACAGAACCATAGGTGGGGAGAAGAGAGGCCACCATCGGTTTTGAAGTAGGTGGTGAGGGACAAGAGTTTTCTGCCGTGACCATACAGAGATGACAGAAGTTCACGTTGGAGAACGCATCCTTAGAGAGACGAGTTTGTGGTGACATTGTCGTAAAGGATACGGGTTGCTGATCATCCTCTTCAAATCGACCTTCTCCTTGCAGTAGGGGCAAGTCTGCTTTTTCCCGACGATACACCAGCCTCGGATACAGAATTCATGGAAGCTGAAGCACCTAGTCAGGGAAGCCTCTGGATAAAGGGTAAAGTGCAGTTCATGGTGACATGGAAATAATCTCGCCCTTGGGTCCAGTAGTGGAGAGTGAGGATGGCTGTCAGCCATGACCGCACTGTACACATTACTTTTTAAATTTCTGCTAGAGGGAACATGCACTTGCCAGAGAGAGACAGAGGAGGCATCTCCCATGGGAAATGGTCACACCACCATTCCTTCTCCTCCATCTCCCACTCCTTTTGGGATTTTTGGGCATGCATGCACATGTACCCAGCATGCTTTTCAGGCTGCCATGTTTGGGACTCGAGCCATCTGGTCGACCATATGGGATCCAGCCTCCTTATAACCACCAGGTCATGGAACCAGCTGTCCACATCACTTGCAGGGAGATTTAGTGGGACAGTGGAGCCCCAGTGATGGCGAGGAGAGAGTCAGAACTGCCTTAGCTTTATGACCAAGATCTAACTTAGCTTCTTGGCCTCCCTTGTTCTTGTCTCCCTTGATCCTGGAAAGAATCAGATGAGACACGAATGTGAGAGTACTTTCATGGTAACGTTCTATGTTAATGTACTGTCATATCCCTACCTCACACCATGTGCATCGCTCATGCATTTCTCATAGCATTTGCTACTTTTGTGCCTACTTCTCACCCTCTATGTAATCAATCAAACTTGTCTTAGGCCCTTAAACAGGTTTAAATTATTTGTGGTCATAAACATACAAATATGTCTGTTACTTCATAAGCTTTTTCCCCTCAAGTTTTTTACTATTGATAAGGAGCCTTTTTTTTTTTTAAATGAGAGAAAGCAATGCATACACTTGAGAGGGAGAGGAAGAGAGAGAGAGAGAGAGATCCCTTGACAGGGTCACCTAATGCCACAGTCACCTTTCCTCTGCCCTCCAGCTCTTCAGGATCTGGCAGGCCCCACCTGGGAGTCCAAGCCTGGGCTGCCAGCACTGCAGGGAAATTCAGTTATTGCCACACCACAGCAGCTAGGCCTCATTTACTTATTTATTTATTTGAGCGATTTTTTTTTTTTTGCTACAGAGCACGTGTGCCTGCCAGAGAGAGAGAGACAGAGAGACAGAAAGTGAGAAATCACTCCCCAGGGGGGATGGTCACACTGCAAACTCTTCTCCTCCATTCTCCTCTTGGGATCTTGGGCACGCACACACACGTGCCCGGCTTGAGTTTTAAGCCACCGGGTCTGGGACTCGAACTGCAGTTAACTACGTGGGAGTCCAGCAATGTAACTGCTATACCATCTGCTGGTCCCTGCCTCACTTATTTTTTAAAAGAACAGAAACCTAGTAAATCCTAATGTCTCCAACTCTGGGCATTTAAAAATTCACTTGTGGGGGCCAGCAGATGGTGTGGTGGTTAAAGTACTGGATTCCCACATAGCCAACACCGTTTGAGTCCTGGACCTGGTGGCTTAAAAATCACCCTAGGTGCATGTGTGTGCATGCCCCAAATCCCAGGAGGGGAGTGGAAAGAAGGAATTGAAGTGTGGACAGCCCCCTGGGGGGTGATTTCTCACTTTTTCTCTCACTATCTCTCTCTTGTGTGAGTGCATGTGCTCCATGGTAAAACCTAAAAAAAAAAAAAAAAGATCATTTGTGTACATCACACCACCCAGAGCCTGACCCTTTGTCCCAGCGTTGAGGATGAGCTCCGTATTTTTTCCCAGCACCTGGAACTTGCTCCCGTCATGGGGCACAAGGGCTTCCTGTGTGCTGACGCGCCTCTCAGGCCGGGCGCTCCCTGCTGGACTTGCTGATTCACCCCTGCACCCTCGGCCCCTTAAACAGTCCCTAAGACATACTGACAGAATGGCTATTTGGATGAATCAGTCAAAACCAATTACTTTGGGACCAGCAGTTAGCGTAATGGCTATGTCGCTGGACTCCCATGTAGCCTACTGCAGTTCGCGTCCCGGACCCGGTGGCTTAAACTCACGCCAGGCGCGTGTGCGTGCGTGCCCAAGATCCCGAGAGGAGAATGGAGGAGAAGGGATTGCGGCGTGGCCATCCCCCCGAGGGGTGATTTCTCGCTTTCTGTCTCTCTGTCTCTCTCTGCTTTCTGGCAAGCGCGTGTGCCCTATAACGAAATATTTCAAAAAAATAAAAAGGAAAAAGAAAAGAAAAGAAATACTGGGTATGAAAACCAGCTTTCCATCCTTGGTGAGGCGCTGTCTCAGAGACACAGAGTGGCGTAGTTTGGCAGGACCAGCCGTGGTGAGCGCTGTTACTAATGCAGTACTGTGTGGTAAGGGCTCTCTCTAGAGGGATGGCCCTACAACCCGTTGCTTCCTGAGTGCTGAGGAACTGATGGAGACAAAGCCTGTCTTATGGCAGAAGGGTCAGATGAGAAAAGAACGAGAAGACAGTCGATGACCTGGCCCTTGGCCTTCTTGGGGACACAGACTTGACAGCTGGCCATCTCCTACATGTGTTGTGGCCAAAGGCCAAATGAGCCCTCCTGAGAGATGACCTGGTTTTGGGAGACAGTCCAGGCACGGACGCTGCCGTGGAGCAGGACAACTGGGCTGAGAAGTTTGGCCTAGGTGGGTGCAGACTCAGAATCAACACCAGTGAACATGGAAAAACATTTTTTTTCCCCACAAGGTGAATGAGTGGCTTTCAAAGCCCAATATTTTTATTCTGAATAATCATCGGGACGCGTCGGCATCAGAGCCAGAACACACGGAAGACTACGCGGTCAGCGTGTGGAAAGGTGTCTCTGTTTCTTGGTGGAGGAGCTCAAAGAGGAGGATCCTTCAAAGCACGGAAACGTAGCTTTTTTGTTTCAGCAAAGGAGGCTCTTAGGGTAGGTAGCAGAGAGTACAGGGGATGCCAGGAGGTGAGAGGGCGCTTGCTGAAGGATCTCAGCCAAGATTATAGGAGTATCTGTGCTACCTGAGTGACTACCTCGCAGTCAGCAGTGAAAACGCTGGAACAGCACTGTCAGAGCTACGCAGATAACAGATACCGTGCCAAACATAATGGATTCGGTAAACGTGGCAGCCCCAGAGGAAAGGGTTTATTCGGTAGAAGAGAGAGAAGACCAAGTTGACAGACTAGACTTTATCCGAAACCAGATGAACCTTTCAACAGTGGATGGTAAGTAAAGAAAAATCAGGGAAGTTACTGAGGAGGTGGCAAACAAGGTTCTGTGTGCAAGGATGTGAAATTTGTCAACGTTTTGGTGAATGAATTTTGTTCTGAGTTTCATCCTACTCCAAGGGTGTCCAAAGTTTGTAAAAGTGAGTTAACTAAGCACATAGGAGACGGTATGGGAAGACATGTGGCTGATCGGTGCACCAGTGACGTCAATGAACATGTGATTGAACATGTGAAGCCATTACTACCAGCTGGTGTACAGAATAAGCTAGATACACTGATCCCTCGCAAGAAATTCGACCTCAGCCGTGACCGAAACTGCCACGAGCTGTGTTCGGATTTTCAAGAGGATTTTGCATTTGCTTTTCCCCTGGGCTGGTCTCCTCTTGCACATGGATTCGTACGTCCTACACATGCTCAAAGGATGCTTCTAGGACTAGCAGAGCCTATCTTTCGGCTCCTTAGATCTTTAACTTCCACTTCCATGGCTCCCACCAATCCAGGAACTCCATAATGCATCACGGGAAGAGCTCGTGGTCAGCTCAGTAATAGCCGTGGGTTCTCCAGCTTCTCCAACGTCTACGGGCATCATCGTGGCTGGAGGAGTGATGTGGAAAACTGCAGGCTGGAAGCCTATATCTGTTTCATTAAGTGTATGGAGCTTTGTATCTCTAAGAAAAGCTGGCCTGGACCACCCTTGCCAAGAGAGCCTTTAAACAACAGTTTGCGAACTAAGCAACTGAGAACTACAGGTGATTGTTAGCTTCATGCCGCCAGCTGCAGCCAAGTACAGGGATGGTTACAAGACGATGTTACTCAAAGAAGAAATTGCTACATTAGCCAAAGACATAGACCAACTGGAGAAAATACAAAACAATTCAAAGCTCTTAAGAAAAAGAAGCTGGGACCAGCAGTTAGCATAATGGCTGGGTCGCTGGACTCCCATGTAGTCGACTATGGTTCAAGTCCCAGACCCGGTGACTTAAACTCATGCCAGGTGTGTGTGCACGCCCAGGATCTCGAGAGGAGAATGGAGAAGAAGGGATTGCAGCGTGGCCATCCCCGCTGGGGGTAATTTCTCGCTTTCTGTCTCTCTGTCTCTGTCTTTCTGGCGAGCACACAAGCCCTATAGCAAAAACCTCTCAAAAAAAAAAAAAAAAAAAGCTATTATACTTGAAAATGAAGTGGAGAATTTTACTAACCAGTTTCTACATTCAAGTAATGAAGAATCTTAAGAAGAATCGCTTTGGCAACCTTTACAGGAGACAATGAAACTTTGAAGATTGGGACAGTTTTTTGGGGTTTTTTTTGGGAGAGGTTTTTGCTATAGGGCACGTGCGCTTGCCAGAAAGACAGAGAGAGACAGACAGAAAGTGAGAACTCACCCCCCAGGAGGGATGGCCACACTGCAATCCCTTCTCCTCCATTCTCCTCTTGGGATCTTGGGCATACACGCATGTGCCCAGCATAAGTTTAAACCACTGCATCTGGGACTCGAACCGCAGTTGACTATGTGGGAGTTCAGCAACATAGCCCCAACAGTTGTTATTTTTATGAAACAACTTTAAACATGAATTATACTAGCTACCTAAATATCAGGCAAATCCCTATTAGATTCTGATAATGCTCTACTTCAGCGTATTTGCATTTCTGAGGGGTTATGTCCTTGGTTTTAATTTGGGGTAAACTGAAGAAGGGCTAAATTCTTTAATGTGTTAAAATAATTAGCTAAGGGGCCAGCAGGTGGCATGTTGGTTAAGGGTGCTGGACTCCCACATGGCCGACTGTGGTTCTAGTCCTGGACCTGGCAGCTTGCTTTCTCACTCTCTCTCTCTCTTTTTCACTCTGTCTCTCTCTGGGCAAATCAAGAAATAAATAAAGTTAAATAAAATGATTCTTTAAAAGAAATAATAATTAGTATTAGAAGCAACAGAACTAACTGTGTAACCCCTGAGGGGTGGGGCCTTGAGCTCTTAATTAGGGCTTTTTTTGTTTTTGATTCAGAAAAACTCTACTTCCTGGGATCCAGGAATTAGAGAATGATCCTGTCATCTTCTTTCTCAAAGAACCATCTAATTTTTTTTTTTTTTGTAGAGGTTTTTTTGCTATAGGGTGTGTGCGCTCACCAGAAAGACAGAGAGAGACAGAGAGACAGAAAGTGAGAAATCATTCCCCAGGGGGGATGGCCATGCCACAATCCCTTCTCCATTCTCTTTTTGGGATCTTGGGCACACACGCAATGCACTGGCATGAGTTTAAGCTGCCGGGTCCAGGATTCGAACCATGGTCAACTACATGGGAGTCCAGTGACATAGCCATTACGCTAACTGCTGGTCCCAGAATCATCTAATTTTTGATGCCTTCTTTAATGGGAATAGTCGCTTTTCGCATCGTTTTATGAACTGCACTGCTCTAACCACCAGGGGGTGTGGAACATTCTCGAGTGTGTTATTTATGGGAATTCCAGTCAGGTTTGCCATCCGGGCAGGTATGTAAAGCACTAACAGACCTTCTGGTTTTCCCCTTCTATTTTCATTAAAATGGATGTAAAAACAACATAAAGGTTTGGTATTACAGTCACTTACGAAAGTATCCGGGGCGAAACTGTTTCCTGATCTGTTTCTAAAGAAATACTTTCAGTTCTACTGAATTCTGATTCCAACAAGGAAAGCCTTCCTGTCTCAGATTTCGGAGGAGAGTTTGAAGTGAAATTGGCCAGAGCTGGGGGTGGTCTGGACTCCTGGGATGGGAACAGCACTTACAAACTACTCTCAGAACGCGTTTGCCCGCGCTGTTGCTGGGTCGTCCCCATCGGAGGCTCTGACGCTTCTGTAATTCATGAATTTGCCAGGGCTCTGTTACACAGTACGACTGTCGTGTTTTACTTTAATGAAATGTTTACGGGTTCCGGGATTACGTCTCCTGTAGTAAAAATCCACCCAAACTTACATGGAATGGAAGTACACAAAAAAACCAGCATGTTAGGGCTTTGCTGTGCAGAACGCAGGCCCACAGAGCAGGACCACTCCTCACCTGTTGGAGTGCGCATACCCGGAGGCGCAGTGCGCTTGGCTAGGACAGTGTGTGCCTCCTTTTCGTGGGAGGGACAGGTAACAAAAATCCTATTATCCAAATTGGATGATAGGATGCAATATTGAGATGATTATTAATTAGTTAGTAGCTTTTGATGCTGTTTAGAACTCTGAGTGTGGTAGAAGCTGCCAACTAGGGGAATCCGGTAACAATGACAACGTGAAAAGCTGACACCCATGTCTGGGAACTGCTAGTTTAGGGAACAAGGTCAAGGCCGTCGCCTGTATAGGAAAGTACTTGGACTCCTGAAGTCACACGGTGGTTTGGTGTGGCCAGGACAGTGTAATGGTTCTGGCAGTTTGGCCCCTAGATCGTCAACCTCCCTTTAAATTTGCAGAAATGCAGATTCTTGGGTCTCAGAGGAAACATTTGGAACATTAGGTCGGGCCCGGCGGTCCTGGGTTGCAAGCCCTCCAACAGACTCGATGTGGGCTGAGGTTGGAGACCCACGGCACAGTGGTGCAGTCCCGGCACTTCCCGTCCCTCGTTTGCATACAGTGGCACCTGATCAAGTTTTAAAATGCATGAATGTTGGAAATTGGACGCTAAAATCATCCAGCTTTTACGTCTGGAGATAAGTGAACCTACAATGGAGCACATCAATTATACGGACATTATGTAATTATGGTGGGTCTAGCTCAGAGTTATTGGACAGGTACCTGACTGTTCACTGAGCATGTTTGCAGGGTTATTCATAAACTCTGTATAATCTTTGACGTTTTACAAAACATTTTTATTATTATTTTTATGCAAGCTTGCAAAACGAAAATAAATCTGTTTGCCTGATGAGTTGATTTAAAAAAAAAAAGAAAAAAGAAAGAAGAAAAAAGAACCAGAACCAGCAGTTGGTGTAATGGCTGGACTCCCAATGTAGTCGACCATGGTTCCAGTCCTGGATCCAGTGGCTTAACATCCATGCTGGACGCTGTGCATGCGTGCCCAAGGTCCCGAGAGGAGAATGGAGAAGAGATTGCGGCGTGGCCATCCCCCCTAGAGGGTGATTTCTCGCTTTCTTGTCTCTCTGTCTCTCTCTGTCTTTCTGGTGAGCACACGCGCCCTATAGCAAAAACCTCTCCCCCCAAAAAAAACATAAAAAAAAAAGTGTCTGAAACACTTTTCCACAGTAGAACTGCACAGGGTAACACTTGTTCATAAGACTGTTTGCCCACCCCTTGGGGACATGCCCACTCCTGTGAAAATGGGCCATTAATAATTCTGCCTGCAGAGCACACCGAAAGACAACCACTTTTTAGATGACATAAACACACATGTACGACAATCCCTAAGGGCTTTAAAGCTGGAGAGAGAAAATATTTCCATTTGCAAATGGCAGAAGGGGCTCTGTTCCAACATCTGAAAAGCAAATCACACTTAAAACCAGGGCCGGACTTGGACAATTTCTACTAAGAATGATAGATTTTGGGGAAAGGCATCGGGCTGAAAAACCACTACAGCATTCCATGTAGAATATTTTTGTGTTTCTCCCCGTAGCTTTTTTTTTTTTTTTGAGAGTTTTTTGCTGTAGGGGGCGTGCACTCGCCAGACAGACAGACAGAGACAGAAAGTGAGAAATCTCCCCTCAGGGGGATGGCCACGCTGCAATCCCTTCTCCATTCTCCTCTCAGGATCTTGGGCACGCACACACGCACATGAACCCAGCGTGAGTTTAAGCCACCAGGTCTGGGATTCGAACTGCAGTTGACTACATGGGAGTCCAGCGATTTAGCCATTAGGCTAACTGCTGGTCCCAAGCATTAAAAAAAAAAAAAAAAAAAAAAACAAAAAACAAAAAAACAAAAAAACAAAAACCTCAGAGGTTTTTGGTATAGGGCACGAGTGCTCACTGGAGAGACAGAAAGCGAGAAATCAGTCTCCAGGGGATGGTCATGCCACGATCCCTTCTCCTCCAATCCCCTGGGATTTGGGGCACACACGCCTGGTATGATTTTCAAGCCAGCGGGCCCAGAACTCGAACTGTGCTGGCCACGTGGGATCCAGCCACCTTCACCTCCATGCCACCTGCTGGCCTGCCTGCCCTCCCTGCCTTAGGAGGGAATGGCACGGAGTGCTGGCGACCCAAAGGCTGCTCTGCTATCCACGGTTACGCGCTCAGCGGCAGGCGCTGCTTCGTTCAGGGTCTGGGCGCAGGGTTTCCCAGAGCATCAAGGCCGTTCTCTGTGGTGGCTGGAGCTCCCAGACAATGCTGGTACCTGCAACCTAGAGATCCCTCAGCCAAGAGACACCTGTGGGGCGAACACAGAGAGAGAGGAGTGATGGCCAGCAGGCGGCGTGATGGGTGGCTAAGGCACTGGACTCCCACGTGGTTGACTACAGTTCAAGTCCCGTGCCTGGTGGCTGGCTTTTTTCCCCTCATCCCCCACTGCCAGTCTCTGGTGCATGCACATGCCCTATAGCAACTTAAATAATAATAATAATAAATAAATAAATAATTCTTTAAAGAAAATAAGAGGAGCTAACATTCCATGGACCAGATGCTCCGCGTTTGGCTCCTCCTGGAGCCTATGGAGCCCTGCTGCCAGGGGCATCCCCTCTTTTCAAAACCGAAGCTGGTTAGGGGGCTTGGGGTTCTGCCTCGGCTGCCCTCCCACTGCTACCACACATGGGTTGCTATGGTTATTTTTAGGCAAAGTGCCCAGGGCACTTCTTGGTCCACTGAGGTTCCCCCACAGCACCACCTGGTGGTCGGGAGCTCCTCCTGCCCCTGCCCTCACTCTTGTTCTTCCGGGACCTCCTTCTAGTCCTGGCTCTCGGCTCACCTGGCCTTTGACAGCTTCCCCTGTCCACGCCCTGCTCAGGGGCTGCCACCTTTTTGCCTGCGAGCATTTTTCTTTGAAAAGAAAGTGACTGGGGCCAGCTGTAGCCTGGTTGTTAGGGCAGGGGATCCCACATGGCCAAGTATATAGTTCGTGTCCCAGACCCAGTGGTTTGAAAAACATGTTGGGTACATGCATGCCCAAAATCCCAAAAGAAGGAAGGGATGGATAGTGGTGTGGCCACCTCCTGAGGGGTGCTTCTCACTTCCCCTTTCTCTCTCTCTCTCTGGCAAGCACGCATGCATTCTGCACCTCCCACCCCCAAAAATGAAGCTGGAGGAGGAGGAAGGCCATTTACGTTGCAGTTTGTTACTCAGCGAGGACTCCCAAAAAAGTCTCAAAAAGAAAGATGGAGCTGGGCTGGAGGGTGGGGGTCTGGGGACTGCTAAAGCCGGCAGAGGATCTGGGGTGGAGGGTGGGGGAAGGGAAGGGGCGGCTCCCTGGGGCCAGATGGAAGGATACACGTGACGGCAGGAGAGCTGGTAGGTGTCCTCAATGAGCCCTTCCCCGCCGGGCGCCACGATGATCCTCTGCCCGCAGACGGCGCAGACGTCCTGGGACAGGCTCCTGGTGGGCATCCCGCCGACGCTGTAGAACTGGGGGGGATTGGGGAGGATTGGCACCGTCGGCCAGGAGCGCACAGGCCGGACCCGGGATGCAGCGAAGCCACCGCCAGGCCAGGCGCAGCGGCCCTGCCACCGCGTCTTCGCTGCTCCCGCGTCGGATTGGGACGCTAGACACCTCCCTTAGGAACCAAGATGGCTACAGAGAGGTTAAGGCTTCCTGGCAAAACCACGGAATCCCCAAAAGCACACGGACACCTAAAATCTAACCACGTCAGACCCCTTGCCGGGGAGGGGCTACGTAACTTAGGTGGAATTCTTGTGCACGCGTGGGCCTCTCCCCTCCTTTTACCAGTGTGGACGGGACTAGGTGTGTTACATTCCTCCTCCGCCCGCCCTGCAGCTCACGTTCCAGTCTGGCCAGCACGTGGCCTGATCTCTCCGACCCGGCCCCATCACCGTGGTCTTTTCTTCTGTTTTGCTTTGAGCATTCCCTTACTTTCTGCACTAAGGTGTACCGGGTTCGTCCTGTATACGCCTTGCCTAGATTTCACATCAGCCTTGTCTCCCAAGAGCCCTGTGCTTTTACTGACAGGATCTTAGCCCCGAGATCTGGGCGTAGTGTGCTGAGGGTGGCGTTGCTTGCAGGGCTTCCCCGGGGGCAGGGAAACAGACCGCCTACACCAGCCTCTGCGCACACTCGCGCTCTTCCAGAAGGTCACAGAAACGTGCATTCTGAAAACACTGCATGGATTTCAAAAATATCTTTGCTCCGAAAAACTAAACCTAGGAGCCAGCAGGTGGCGTGGTGGTGAAGGCCCTGGACGCCCTGTGTGAATACTTCACTCACTTGGAATAGAGTCTTCCTCACAGTCTGCGTTCTATCCTGGGGTCCGCTACCTCCTAAATGGTTTCAGTTTGCCTACATTAAGCTTCACCCTTTCCCCCACAAAGTTCTGTGGGTTTGGACAAATGCATAGTGGCACAGAGCCGCGTTGTCATATCATGCAGAACAGTGTCACTGCTCTAAACAATTCCCCAGGCTGTCCCTCTGGCCAATCGTGCTTTGGATCCCCAACCCGGAGGCTTGAAATTACGCTGGGTGTATGTGAGTGCATGTTTAAAATCCCAAGAGGAGGGGAACCAGCAGTTGGCGTAATGGCTATGTCGCTGGACTCCCACGTAGTCGACCGCGGTTCGTGTCCCGGACCCGGTGGCTTAAAACTCACGCCGGGCGCGTGTGCGTGCGTGCCCAAGATCCTGAGAGGAGAATGGAGGAGAAGGGATTGCGGCGTGACCATCCCCCCTGGGGGGTGATTTCTCGCTTTCTGTCTCTATGTCTCTCTCTGTCTGGCGAGCTCACGCGCCCTACAGTGAAAATCTCTCCAAAAAAAAAAAAAAAAATCCCAAGAGGAGAATGGACAGGAAGGGGTGGCAGTGTGACAATTCTCACTGGGGGTGATTTCTCACTTTCCTGTCTTTCTCTGTCTCTCTCCAGGGAACACATGTGTCCTATGGTAAAAACAAAATAAAACTAAACTCAACTTATACTTTAATTCCATTTTCTCATGAGCTTCTTGAGATCCCCTCTTAACTATAAATATTTTTATATGTATCCATTTCTTTCTTTTTTTTTTTTTTTTAAGGAATTATTTAACTTTTTTTATTTGACCAGCGGGGGACAGAGCAAGCGAGAAAGAGAGGGAAAGTGAGAAAGCAAGCCACCAGGTCTGGGACTTGAACCGCAGTTAGCCATGTGGGAGTCCAGCGCCCCTAACCACCACGCCACCTGCCAGCCCCCATTTGTTTCTTTATACCCAGGTCTCCAATCCACGTCTCTCACAGCTTGGATCATCCTGGCTTTTCTCCCTGGCTTGTCTGTAATCTGCCACTTCCCCCCTCTGCCATCCATTGATGTTCAATTTCAGAATACCTCGTGGTGATATGGGAGTTTTTTTTTTTTTTTTTTAAAACTTTCATTTAGTATAAAGACAAAACAACCAAATAAGTGCCAATACTATAAAATTGGTTCAATGGGGTAAAATTTTAATTAAAATATCTTGATGTATTTAAAATGATAAAGGATACAGTTAAGCCAAATTTTCTTAACCCAGAGAATTTGTGTTTTTTTGCAATATTTGGTTACACATAATGGCATTGTTAATCCACGCCCCGAGGGCACTGACTTATCAGACGTGGTGCTGGTATGGAGTCCCTTGGCTTTTTAAAAGACTTATTTAATTTTTATTAACTTCTTATTATTCTTCAGTTTGACCACCTTCACTCGTTTCAGTGACTTCCGACAACACTTTCTCCACCCACTTTGGAAAGGTTATTCCACATATTTGTAACACAGTCTTCCTCACAGTCTGCGTTCTATCCTGGGGTCCTCTACCTCCTAAATGGTTTCAGTTTGCCTACATTAAGCTTCACCCTTTCCTCCACAAAGTTCTGTGGGTTTGGACAAATGCATAGTGTCACGGAGCCCTGTTGTCATATCATGCAGGACAGTGTCACCGCTCTGAATCAATCCCTGGGCTGCCCCTCTGCAAGCCTGCTCCTTCCCGAAGCCCCCCCAGGCGCTGGCCTGGTCAGCATCTCCGCAGGGCTACCTTTTCCGCGTGGCGTACAAATGGGAACATAGTGTGTAGACTTTTCAGACCCGCTCCTCATTTAGCGATGTGCATGGAAATTCATCCATTTCTACAGCTCAATGCTTCATTTCTTCCTCAGGGAGTTCCTTTGCTTGCTTGCTTGTTTCAGAGCAGATGCACTGACTCCACTTCCAGGGATCTGACTTAGCTGATCTGGCTAGGGGCTCAGGCCCTTGGAGGGGAATGGGGATTGCTCTTTTGTGTTCCCTTCTGACTCAGTCATGAGCACATGCACTGACATGCATGCATGTATGTGCGTGCACAAACATACACACACATGCACAACACACACACACCATTAGTCCCAGTCACTAGTGGTCGTACGATGACTTGAAGCAACGATTTTTATCGATTTGGTAGCCGGAATAAAGATGAGAGAGGATGGCAAGATGGTAGGGGCTGGCGAAGGTGAGATCAGTTGAGAAGTTTCTAGAAAGTTGGTACTTGAAGACTTTGTTCTCTTGCCAGGTCAACTCCTCTCTTCCTGGCCCACAGAGAACAGAACATATACAAGTTTACTCCTCTGTCCTACCCATGACCAAGCACCCGAGACTTTGGGGACTCTGAGGGGCATGACTTCTGGGTTTTGTTGGAGGAACTGGGTATCAAAATGTCCCTTTTCATGTTCACCTTGAACCTTATAAGAAAGACAGACGTCCCGGAGATGGTGCATGGCAGAGGATTCCCAAAGGTATGCTGCACCTCATTTCACTGTGGAGGCTGGGTTGTGGGTGCTAGGAGAAGAGTGAGCTGGGGCCTGTGGTGGTGTGGAGGCCTGCTGGGGTGGGGATGAAGCCAGGTTATGTCTGATGTGCAGCAGCCCAAGGCTGATAACTGCCTGGACCTTCTGTTCTGATATGGAGGAACTTGTGAGCAACCTTGAAACAGCCCAGGGCTGATGGCTGCCTGGCTTTCTGTTTCCCCATGAGCTAGCTGCCCCTCCCCGAACTACTGAGCAGCCAGAGGTCTTGAGCAGGTTGGGTTCTCTGCTTCTCTGCCAGTTCTGTATTAGGGCAGACACTGAGCCCCTTCTCTGATAGGACACTCCAAGCATGTTGAAACTGCCCTCCCCCAATTCATCCATAAAAGACGGTGTCCAACTCTCAGCTGGGGCTGGAGATTCAGAGTATTAACTCCTCCATTCTCGCTGGTATAATAACAGTTCTCCTAATTCTCTGAGTGCTATTTCTGTTCCTTAGGGTCCAGTTTCCTGTAACATTTTGGTGCATTGGCTGGGAAGCAGAATCAGGTTGGCCCTTTGAGCCACCAATCCCAAGGCATCCCCACTCTGGGATGGGCACTACAGACTACAGTGTAGAGAGATAGGTATGCCCCTGTCTCATGTGATGGGATCCCACAGCTGGGGTGCCCGCCCTGAGGTCAAGCGTTCCTGGATCATTGGACTCTGCTTGGAGAGAAGGACCAATTCCTGGACCCTGATGCATCGACCCTGGTCAACTGTGGTATCTGGTATCTGGTAAACCCCAGGGATCTAGAGCCCTAGTCAGATAGACCTACGCAGATTGAGTAGGAGAGGAGACCCGATCACTCTCCTTTGGTTGCAGGATCGGCAGTTAGGGCTCATCTGTTAATTGGTTGGTGTGGGGAGGGAATGTACAACCTCTGAATGCATGTGAGTGTTTTTGATGAGCGAATGTGTTTGTGGCTCCATGGCTACTTGCTACAGAGTATGATTGTCTGTTAACTGCGTTTCTGTGGTAGCTCCATAAAGGCTACATGGCAGGATTGGCACTGGGATCCCAGTCCCTCTCTATGCGTTCAATTTGGTGGAGGCCCTATATTTAATTGCTTATTGCCAAGGAACCAACAAACCCTGTGAGGGACACAAACAGAGATGCCTGGTTGGTCCCCTCTGGGGGGCACCCACCCTTTTGTCTGTTTCTGACACTGTTCAAGGGAGGAGGGGGACACAAGGCTGATGGGAGGACTCCCTGTAGAGGTGGATAGGCAGAATAATCAATGTCAAGTTGTGGATTTTGTCCCTGGAAGTTGGGGCACAAATTTCTACTAACTGTGACGCATTTACAGATAGGTTGCAAAAATCTTTGCAAAGGCAGGTAGAGGATCTAGATGTGACTGAGACATTGTTGAAGCAACTGGCCTTTGAAAATGCTAATGTAGATTGTTAAGAGGTGTTGAAGAAAACGTACAGCCTGTGGTGACCTTGTAGCTCAGTTCCCATAGCAACTTAGCAACTCCTAATGACCTTGTAGCCCTGACAACAGCCTAACAACTCTGCTTAGTGCGGACAGACACTGAGGAAGCCCTTTCTCATCCCTGGGGTGCTCAGGACTTTCTTTGCATGGGCAGTTGCTTTGGGGTTTCTGTTTCTGCCTTCTAAAGGTTTTTTTGAATGATTTAAACCTTAAACTGCTATCAACGAGAATGTTTTGCTCGATTTTGGGAAATGTGTGGAACAGTTTTTGTTTGTTTGTAAAATACGCATCATCGTATAAAACAAACTCTCACAATTTAGAACAAAAAAAGGGGGTACTGGGGCCCCAGTGGTGCGAAATTACTCTACCTAACCATGTTCAAATGAAATCATTTAAATTTGACTTTTGACTAAAAATTGTGTCAATGGAGCACTGCCTGGCAGCATTTATCATCTACTCAAAAGCTTCCTCCAACCAGTAATCTCTTAGGCCTTCTGGGAAGTGCAGGCGTTTGATAACTGGAGAGGTCAGAGATAGTTGGGATACGATGAGAAAACCTCAGTCCAAGTCTTCCAAGCCCTACTGTGCTGAACTGTATGGGGACTAATTTTGAAAAGGACTTCTCTGGTGATTACGGAGTTAGATGAAAACTGGAGAGGTTAAGAGCGCTCTGAGATTGGATGGCCTTCTTTTAAAGAGGGATGGCTGCCATCTCCCCACAGTGTGCTTGCTGGCACCCGAGGCCATCCTGGCCAGTCGCCCTAGCTGACTGCCGGCTATAGTAGCCCAAGTCATTCCACTCTGGATGTGAGTCTGCAAAAGAGGGAAAAACCAAAGCTCTATTCTGGCCACTCGTGCCATGCTGCCCATGCCCACCTCTGACCAAAACAAACCCACGGCTCCAATCCTGCAGGGTCCCCAGAAGAGGAGCTCCACCCCTGTATGTTCCGGCCAAGCCGATAATCGCAACTCCACCCCCATCTGTTTTCCTGGGGCCTAAAGAACAGCCCAAGGAAAGCACCAGTTCCTCCAGCCCAGGGGGAGGCCGCCAGCCATCCTGAATCCCGTGCCCACCTCCTGTCACCTGGTGAGCCACTGCAACCCCGGGCAACCTCTCTCTTCAGATGTCCCTCCAGGAGACTCGAGGACCCTCCCATATAGGTGCAGATGGGGCTATTATGAAAGGCAGAGCAACTCTCGACTCCCAGCCCTTCACCACCACCGATTTGCATAATTGGAAACACCACACCTCCTCCTACTCAGAACAGCCCCAGGCAATGATAGAGCTCAGAGAGTCTACTCCAAACACACCAGGCCCACCTGGGACAACTGTCGGCAACTACTCCTCACCCTACTTAACACAGAGGAGCACCGCAGGGTCCTTGTGGCAGCAATGAAATGGCTACAAGAGCGTGCCCCAACCATTTGGTAGATCCCGAGGCTTGGGCCAGAACTGCTTTTCTGAATAAAAAGCCTGAGATTTCAATACTGAGGGTCAACATGCCCATCTCAGCAAGTATCGAGAGGCAACTCCTGCGGGGAATGAAAGCCAGGGCAAAGAAACCTCCTAACACGGCAAAAACGACAGAAATAATTCAGAAGACAGATGAGCCGCCGGGGCAGTCTTATCAGAGACTCTGTGAGGCATACTGGATTTATACTCCACTTGATCCAGAGAGTTCCGGAAGCCAGCGGATGATTAACACCACCTTTGTCGCCCAATCGGCCCCTGACATCTGTAGAAAACTCCAAAAGTAGGAAGGCTTTGCTGGGATGAACGCCACCCAGCTCCTGGAGCTTGCTACTTGAGTCTTTGTGAACCGAGATCAAGAGGAATGAAAGGAGGCAGACCGGCAGATGAAGCAGGACACAGTCCTATTGGCTGCCACCCTCAGACAGCCAGATGCCCCACCCAGCCTGAGAGAACCAGAAACCGGCTGCCCCAGGCTTAGACCAACCCAGCGCTCATACTGCGAAGAGAGTGGACACGGGGGAGGCGAGTGCCCCAAGCGGAAGGCAAACCAAGGGAAAATGACCAGAAATCCTCCAGAGCCCTCAAGACCTTTCACCCAGAAGTTCCAAGGGACCTCCTGGCCATGATGGAATCAGAATAGGACCGACCGGACTCCATGATTCTGCGCCCCCAGGAGTCCCTGGTCAACGTCAAAGTGGGGGCCAATGAAATCCATGGTAGATACTGGAGCTGAAGACTCTGTTGTCACCAGCCCTGGCCCCCTGTTGGGCCGAGAAGCCACCATCATGGGCACTGGGAACACCAACACTCAGCCCTTTTTACAGGTGAGAAGCTGCCAGCTGGGGGGCACCTGGTTACCCATGAGTTCTGTTCCTGCCTCATGCCCAGTCCCATTGCTGGGAAGAGATCTGTTGACTGAACTCAGAGCACAAATCAGCTTTGACTCAGCAGGCCTGGCTGCACCGACTGTCAGCCCCGCCCAAATCCTGACTGTACCAATGCCCTGAGAGGAAGAAACGCCAACATTCACCCCCAGGAAAGCTCTTCTATGGACTTAGAGAATTTCCCAGGTCAGGAACCTGGGTGTCCTCTGCTCCAATATGTTGATGACCTCCTGCTTGCTGGAGCGAGCCAAGGATTGGTGGAAGGGAACTTGAGCGCTGCTCCCACTTCTCTCTCAGGCCGGATACAAGGTCTCAATGAAGAAGGCCCAGATCTGTCATTCTCGGAGCAGTTCCTAAGGTTCATTCTGACTAAAGGACACTGTGCTCTTGGGCACGAATGCAAACAGGTGGTATGTGAGCTGCCTCAGTCCCCAACCAGGAGACAGCTTGCATGGGTTCCTGGGAGCAGCAGGATTCTGTAGGATTAACTCCTCCGTGCTCGCCGGGGTAAAACAGTTCTCCTGTCTCTCCGAGTGCCACTTCCATTCCTGGGTGTCTGGTTTTCTGCAATATGTCTACGTGGGTCCTGTCTCACAGTGGAGAGGCAGAACAGTCCAGAAATGTCCTTCTCTTTTGCTTACACTAGTTTTTCTACTTCATAGCTACCATAAGGGATAGGGAACAGGGGCATGGAATTCCGGAGACCGTGGAGTCACTCCTGGAGCCCTTGGGTTTAAAGGATGTGCACGGCTGTGCTCCCAATATCTGGATCCAGGATCCATTTAGCTTGTATGTCTGAATTTTAATTTTTTTCTAATTTTTGCTATAGAGTGTATTTGCTCGCCAGAGAGAGACAGAGAGAAGAAGAGAGAAAAAGAGAGAGAGGTGGCAGGGGAGAGAGAGAGACAGAAAGTGAGAAATGACTTCCAGGGTGGGGGCGGGGGAGATGGCTATGCTGTGGTCCTTTCTCTTCCATTTTCCTCTTGGGATTTTGCCACATATGCACACATGCCACAACCACACAGTTGGCCATGTTAGGACAATTTTTAATGACAATTTTTAAAAAATACAACTGTTGAGGATTTAAGAAAAAAAAAAAATTCCAGGCAACAGTATCCAGTCAGCCTACATTTAGCACACGTTTTATGCCTTCTGCTCCTTGGGGTGTTATATAATGATAATTGGTGCTTACGTGCCCTGAGGCCCTGGCTAATTTGAAATCGCATAGAATCAGATAGAATTTTTATTTCCATTAGGACAAGTTACATGCAGAGATTACTGTTCATCTTTTACTAACCCTTTAAAGATTGGCCATTGGAATACGCTCGATTTGATAACCTGAATAATTGGCATTCTTTAAGGTTTTTGCCATAGCGTGTATGCATTTGTTAGAGAGACACAGAGAGAGGGAAAGTGAGAAATCACTCCCTCAGGGGGGTTGGCCATGCTGCAATCCCTTCTCTGTGCTTCCCTCAGGATTTTTGGGCATGCACACACATGCATCTAGCACGATTTTCGAGGCTCAGGATCTGAGATTCGAACCATGGTTGTCCATGTGGGAGTCCAGCACCTTAACCACCACACCACCGCTGGCCCAAGACGACGTATCCTCCAACCATTTATATAAGTAAGACATGTATTTATTTATTTATTTCTTCTACAAGGAGGGTGGGCAAAAACCCTTAAGACGGGCCTCATGCCCAGACCCACCCCCGGTCTCAGCTGGCCTGGGCCACGGACACCTGTGAGGGGCTGTGCTCTCAGGGAGGCACCGGGACACGAACCTGGGGTCTTATAATGGGTCCAGGTGCGTTACCACTCTGCCACCGCTTGGCCCCAGACATGTGTTTTCTAATAAACTAACAAAGAAAGTGTCTTGATTTGAGGAGACTCCAGGGAGCGGCTGGCCGGGGGAAGCCCATTAGCCCAGAGGAGGTGATGACCTGTACGTCGAGAAGGGCTCGGCCGTCTCTGGAAACGGCACACGTAAGGGGCCATGGGCATCTCTGAGGATGACAGCGGCACTCACCCCTATGGTAGACGCCATGTAGTCCGAGCAGATCTCGGCGAAGTCTCTCCCCATGACTCCGTAGTAGAGGCCGTAGAACAGGGACACGAGGCCGAAGTCCATGGAGGCTCTGGCTTTGATTCTGTTGAAAACGACAGGAGAGGAAATGAGGCTGGGCTTGGAGAGCCAGGGAAGGCCGGAGCTTGGGGACTCTCTCCTGCTGTGGTACCTAACGCAGCCTCATGGGTTTTTGTTATTTATTTGTTTGTTCGTTTAGTTTATCTCCTTTTATTTTGTATTTTAGTTTATTTATTTGTTTATTTAAGAGATTTTTGCAACAGGGGATGTGGACTTGTCAGAGAGACAAAAAGCAAGAAATCACCCCCCTAGGGGGTATGGCCACGTTGCAATCTCTTCTCCTTCGTTCTCCTCCTGGGACCTTGGGCATGCACGCACATGTGCCTGATGTGAGTTCCAAGTCGTCGGGTCAGGGACTTGAACCACAGTTGACCACATGGAAGTCCAGAGCCTTAACCTCTATGCCACCTGCTGACCCCATTATCTTCTTTAAACAAACAAACAAACTTAAAATTCTCTAAATTTCCCTGAAATCATAGCACTTGGTGCACATGGAAAATTATTATTTTTTTTTAAAAAGGCTGCTTTCTTTTTTCTTTAAAAAATTATGTTTTTTTAAATTTTACTTCTTCATTCATTTATTTTAATTTGACCAGAGAAAGAGAGGTAAAGTGAGAAAGCAAGCCACCAGGCCCGGGACTTGAACTGTGGTCAGCCATGTGGGAGCGTCCAGTGCCTTCACCACCATGCTACCTGCTGGTCCCCTAAGCTTATTTATTTCGTCTGGGACAGAGGGAGAAAGGCGCGGGATGGGGCACCTCCAGTAGGGTCTTCCCGCCATGACCCCGCCCACCAGAATCGCAGGTGCGTGTGCATTCCCAGCAGGTCCGGGGCAAGCTCAGAATGCCCCAGATCTCCGTATGTAACTTCAGCATGGCAGAGTGTGTGTTACTGTTGTGACCCTGCGGCTGGCCAGGAAGGCTCGAGACAGGCTTCAGACACTCCCGAGGGCTGCCTCTGACCCATGGGTGCCCTTGGCTGCCCACAGACAGACCTGGCAGCTTGAACGAAGCTCCGCCCCGGGCCACGCCCAGTGCAATCCCGAGGGTCTCTGAGGCCTGTGCCATAGCACTGTTTACTTTTAGTTTTTTTCTATAGGGAGTGTGCGCTCTCTGGAGAGAGACACGGAGAGAGGGAAAGTGAGGAATCACCCCCTGGGGAATGGTCGTGCTGCAGTCCCTTCTCCTCCCTTCTCCTCTTGGGATCCTGGGCATGTATACCCACACGCTGGTGTTCATTTCAAGGTGCCAGGTTCAGGACTTGAACCATAGTCAGCCACGTGGAAATGCAGTGCCTTAACCACCACGCCACCCGCTGGCCTCTGCAGCAATATTTTTCGAAGCTCCCCAGACCAGGTGATTCCAGCTGCTAGCTCTAAGAACCACTCAGCCCTAGACATCGAATGGCATTACCAAAAGCGATTCTGCCATGCACTGATGCAGGGCCCAACTCCAAAGACCTCGCTGTCTGGGGGCATCTGAGGAGCAGCAGTTTCGAAGAGCTTTTCAAGAGAGGACAACACAGCAGGTGTGAGAATCTCAGAATGCCTTAAAACACTCCATCTCACCTAACAGACGTACGAGGCACGTGGAAACACGGAGACTTAGAACAGGCTGTTGTCTTCACACGACAACTGCCCACAACGAAGGCAGGAACCGGGCTCCGTTTCTACCCTCCGCTACGCCGTCCTGGCGACGCGTCCTCATCACAGGACCGTTTCTACAAGTTGAATATATTTCGAATACACTAGGAGTCTCTGTGATCACCTCCTTTTTTTTTTTGTTCCTTGTTGTTACATCTGAAAAACTGTCTGAAATACCAGCGGGGCACCTGGTGGGGTCCGACTGACTCGGGGAAGGGAGTGGGGAGTGGAGAAGAGTTGGGTGTCTGTCTCTGGACCATTCGTCTGACTTTGTGTTCTGCTAGGTTGTGGAGGGAGTGCTGATGGCTGGGAGCTTTGTAGGTTTCAAGGGTACAGAATTTTTGATGTTGGGAGGTGGGGCGTCAAGCACAGGGGGGTGTTTTATACTTTCAAGATTCACCCGGGTATTCTTTTTTTTGGGGAGAGATTTTCACTGTAGGGCACGTGCGCTAGCCAGCCAGACAGAGAGAGACATAGAGACAGAAAGCGAGAAATCACCCCCCAGGGGGGATGGTCATGCTGCAATCCCTTCTCCTCCATTCTCCTCTCGGGATCTTGGGCACGCACGCACACACGCCCGGCCTGAGTTTTAAGCCATCGGGTCCGGGACGCGAACCGCAGTCGACTACGTGGGAGTCCAGCGACATAGCCATTACGCTAACTGCTGTTCCCCGGGGTATTCTTGAGAATGAAGACAGTGGGGACGGTGGTGGGGATGAAGAGTACCTTCTGTCCATATTTGAGGCAGTAGGTACTTAGAATCTTATTGATAAAAAGAATAGTAATGGGGCCAGAAGATGATCGAGTGGTTAAGTTGCTGGACGCCCACATGGGCGACCGCAGTTCGAGTTCCAGACCTGCGGCTTGAAACTCACACTGAGTGCGTGTGCGTGCGTGCCCAAGATCCCAGGAGGAGAATGGAGGAGAAGGGATTGCAGAGTGGCCATTTCCCCTGGGGGGTGATTTCTCTCTCTCTCTCTCTCTCTGTCTCCAGTGAGCACACACACCCCTAAGCAAAACATTTCTCAAAAGAAAAAAAATTAGTAATAAACTTGTGGTTCCATAGAAAATAACCTTGTTTTTTAACGTTAAAAAAAATTTTTGTTGTTGTTACTGTTGAGTGTGTGCATACACACCCTCTCGGCACCAGGCCCTACAGACGGCACAGTCTGAGGCACCAACACGATTTCCCCTGGTTTATAATTTCTCTCAAGACTTTCTTATGTTACTCTATTAAGTCTCTCTCAATTTCCTTTCTCTTCTTCTTTTTCTTAATTTACTCGAAGGTGTGTGCACTCACCAGATAGAGACAAGGAAAGGAGAGTGAGAAAGCACCTTCCATGGGGGATGGCCATGCAGCAATCCCTTCTCCATTCTCCTCGTAGGATTCTGGCACCCTCGCACACACACCTGGTGTGTTTTCCAAGCTGCCGGGTCCAGGAACAGAACCGAGAAGTCGGCCATGTGGGATTCAGCCACCTTAACCACCACACCTCGGACTGGCCCATGTTTTCTTTTTGTATTATTGTATTATTGTGTTATTGATGATAAGGCATGTATGTGTGTATATAAGAGTGAGAAAGACAGACAGACAGGTTCTGGTCTGCCACGGTCCCTTCCCTCTAGGTCTCCAGCCCATCAGACCTGGGACTCTCTCACGTGTACCGGGCGTGTCTCAGGCTGACGGGGAACCGGCTTCCCCCGATCAGCGCATCACCGCCATGACACCAAGCTGCGCTCTGCTTCCAAACGCTGTTCCTCCTTTCCCAGCTGTTCCTGAGAAAGGGGCTTCATGGATCCTGGGGAGCAACACCGCCATCGCTGTCATTTTGATTGTTCTGGTAGCTGCTTTAAACGAGTAGACGGAGGGCCCAGCAGGCGGCCTGGGGGTTAAGGCGCTGGATACTGAATGGCCAATGTGTGGTTTGAGAAACACACCAGGTGTGTGTGCATATGCATGTGTGCCCAAAGTCCCAAGAGGAGAAGGGGTTGCAGCAAGGCCATTCCCCCTGAGGGGAGCTTTCTCATTCCCCCCCACCTCTCTGGCATGCATCTTATAACAAAATTTTTTAAAAATGCAAAAATAAAGCAGGTGAAATTAATCTCTCCCATACTATCATTGAAATATTATCATGTCAACATGTAATCATACTATCATTTTGACATGTAATTGATAGGAAAATTTTTATACTAAGTCTTCAAATCCAAATAAAAGACATTTATAAATTTTATCAATTTATATGTCTATAATTATAGAATTATATCTATCTAACGATAACCCCTTATTTGATATTTTACGTGCTAAAGAGCCACATGAGCGAGCAGCTTCTGTACCAGATGGCGCAGCTGTAAGAAGATGCATAGGAAGAGGGCCTGCTAAGGCATGGGGGTAAAGGTTCTGACCCCTCATAGCCAACCACAGTTCAAGTCCCAGATCCGGCGGCTTGAAAAACACCCCAGGCACATGTGCATGCGTGCCTTAAAACTCAAGCGCATGGAGGAGAAGGGATTGCGCATGGCCACTCCCCAGAGGGTGATTTTTTCTCTCTCTCTGGTGCACACACGCACCCTATGGCAAACTTTAAAAAATACATACAAAGAGAAGCTATGGAAACAAGGATTTTGTGGAAGTTCAGTACACTTGTCCTTCAGTAAAAATGACTACAATTACAGGTCCATTTTCAATGGTGATATTTTACATTTGCAGATCAAGTATAGATTCTCTTTAAACTTAATTTAAAAAATGTTTGTAGGGGACCAGCAGTTAGCATAATGGCTATGTTGCTGGACGTCCACGTAGTCGACCCCGGTTTGAGTCCCAGACCCGGTGGATTAAACTCACGCCGGGCGCATGTGTGTGCGTGCCCAAGATCCCGAGAGGAGAATGGAGGAGAAGGGATTGAGGCGTGGCCATCCCCCCTGGGGGGTGATTTCTCGCTTTGTGTCTCTCTTTCTGGCTGGTGAGCACACACGCCCTATAGCAAAAACCTCTCCAAAAAAAGAAAAAAAAATGTTTGTAGCACTTGTCTTCCTTTCTGTTGGCTCCCAGGAACAATACATGTGACTATCTACTAGAGAAGTGTGCGTGGGAAAACGTAGGGCCAACAGACAGAGCGAACAGGGAGTGAGCGCTCCAAGCAAGCTCGTGGGGCCGGCCACGCCCTCGCGGACACTTACTTGAAGAATACATGGAACCCACACATGGTGAACACGATGGCCAGGTAGCCCACGACGCCGAGCGCATAGCTGAGCTTGTAGATGAGAAGAAACCACTTGTAGACCAGTCTGTGGGGCAGGAAACGGGGAGAAACACAGAACGCAATGTATTAGGCTTTCTTGTTCCCAGCCGTTGTTATAAACCAGTTTACAGTCTCTAAAATGTGATTTATTTCACACTATACGGAACAAAAGCACCGAGCTGTCAGAAAAGTCATGAAGCATTTTTTGTGTAGAAACGGAGAAAACCACGTCATGACTTTCACAACAATCCAATATATGAATTAACCTGAAAAGGACCCAGACTTAATATAGTAGCCGCAAGCACTCCATACACAGCACACGTGTTTACATGGGCAGCTACATGTCGATTCCTTATTGGCCTCAGTCCCTCCCTCGTGTAGAGCTGCCTTCAGGAATGCTGGCCCTGTCTGCCACCTGGATTTCTTTCCCTCTTCAGTTCGGCCCCGGGGTAGCTTAGAGTGGTTCTGGTGGGAGCTCCCTGGGAATGCAAGCAAAAAGGGGCAGTAGCCTGTCGGCCTTGCTGCTGCGCTGCCCCTCACCCAGCCCTACAGGGATATCAGTAGTGACCCCAGTCCTGCCCCATCCAGGCACCCAAAGAGCCCCTCCCCCAGGATGGGCGTAGAATGACAGGCCAGGAACCAGCAGGTGGCACAGTGGTTAAGGTGCTGGACTGGTTTGAGTCCCAGATCTGGTGGCTTGCTTTCTCACTTTTCCTTTCTCTCTTTCTCTGTCTTTTGCTGTTCAAATTTTAAAATAATAATCATAATACATAAAATAAATAAATACAATAATTAAAAAAAATAAGAGGCCAACATCAGCCCGCTGTTTCCTGCTGTAGAGATGGTCCTTGTGCGTCCCGAGGCTTGTGTGACCCCCTCGGAGGCCGGTTCTCTGCGAGAGTGGGTGTTCTAGAAGGAAGCTTTACCTGCTTGTTCCCTCTCCTCTGACAGTCAAGGCTCTTAACCAAAACAAACAAACAAAAAAACACGCAAAAAGGGTCACATGACTCCCTCATGCCTGGGCGGCCCTGGGAGGCTGCGGGGAGTCCAGCCTGGCTGGCCAGAGCAGAGGGGCAGTGCCCACAGGAAGCAGAGGGTGGAAGGGAGAAGGCAAAGGCGTGGCTGGCATGTGCTCACGCCGGTGCCCCTCCCCTGCCCTCCTCATCCTGCCTTTCACCCCAACCCTCATTCAGCCTGGCTCAGGGATATGGTAAGGTCCAGTCGCTCCAAGCCCTGGGCCCTGGCCGCTCACGCCCCTTCCCAGCATGGGCGCGGCAGCAGCTTTTGCAAAAGGCTGCAGGGTGTCACCGACCTGAGGGTCCCCTGTGACTCCGAAGATGCTGCTTAACTGAGGCCCAGTCGGAAGGACGTGGAGACGCTGTGATTTAAACACACGTGGGCTAGCCTGAGAAAGGCATTGTCAGGAACCAGCAGTTAGCATAACGGCTATGTCACTGGACTCCCACGTAGTCGACTGCGGTTCACGTCCCGGACCCGGTGGCTTAAAACTCACGCCGGGCACGTGTGCGCGCGCGCCCAAGGTCCCGGTGCCCAAGATCCTGAGAGGAGAATGGAGAAGAAGGGATTGCGGCGTGACCATCCCCTCTGGGGGGTGATTTCTCGCTTTCTGTCTCTATGTGTCTGTGTGTCTGGCGAACGCACGCACCCTATAGTGGAAAAAAAACCTCTCCAAAAAAAAAAGAAGGGCATTGTCAATTATAGTAACAGTCAGTCCCCAGCCTGCCTGGGCCTGGACTGGTTTTGTGGAAGACGATCCTCCCCAGGATCGCTGGCTTCGTGCCCCGCCACCATTTGCCTGCTGCTGGGTGGGCCAGTTCCTAACAGACCACGGGGTTGTACAGAGCTGAGGCCTGCGGGTGAGGACCCCTGATTCTCAGCATTTCTACCGTGAACTCTTTCTTGGTTTCAAGTTGCCAATTCACGAGGCCCCTGTGCTAACACCCTGTCCCACCAGGTGGCCTCCTGTCCCATTCCAGGGGTGCGCAGCGGGCGCAGGAATCTCGGGATCTTGGGCAGGCACACACAGTGGGTTTTAAGCTGCCAGATCCAGGACTCGAACCGTGGTCGACTACATGGGAGTCCAGCGATGTAATCATTACGCCGTCCACTGGTCCCAGCGTTTGGGTAGTTCTTGCAGACTCCTGTGTATTAAGTGAGCTGATTACAGAAACACAGCATGCAGCTGCGGAGCCTGTTACCCAGCGGGAACACAACCGTTCTCGCCGGAATACGGGCTAGACTGTGCCCGGGGTGGGGGCGAGCAGGCTCTGATATGCCCGGAACTCTGCCACCTGTGCAGGTCCTAGCCCAACGACGGCGCCATGCGTCCACCTCAGGGTGGGTGAGCCGGCCCGCGAAGGCGCCCAGACCCCCAGCTGGCCAGTTGGAAGGTCTAACGCCATCCCCAAACTCTTCCAGAGTGGCATTAAGTAAAAATACTCACGAACCTGAATTCGTGCACTCGAATTTCGGCTTTTATCGTCCCATTGACTTATCCGATTTCTCTCGCTGTTTTTCCTCTCTGGACTAGAAGGGAACGTTCATGTTTGTCTCCCCTATTTTTAGAGGGGAAATTTGATCCCTGGGAGACTAGATAATTACAAACCTATTTCCCAGGACCTTGCAATTTAGCTTCTCAAAGGGTCAAAAAGTCTGATGTGGTCTTGTTAGAATTCTAAAGTTTTTTAAAATTAGTTAACTGATTAATTAATTCTAGCATTCATTCACTGAGCATTGTCACAGCATACAAAATGTGATCTCCCATCTGGAATCCACTGTACAGTGGCTTAAGGTTTTTACCATAGGGCGTGTGCGCCCACCAGAGAGAGACAGAGAGAGGGAAAGTGAGAAATCTGCTCCCGGGGATGGCCACGCCCCAGTCCCTTCTCCTCCACTCTCCTCTCAGGACTTCGGGCACACACACACATGCACCCAGATTTCCAACCTGCCGAGTTTGAGACTTGAACTATAGTTGACCATGTGAGAATCCAGAGCCATACCTTGTCCATTATATTAGCTTTTTTTTTTTTTTGAGAGGTTTTTGCTATAGGGCACGTGCGCTGGCCAGAAAGACAGAGACAGAGAGATAGAAAGCGAGAAATCACCCCCCAGGGGGGATGGCCACGCCACAATCCCTTCTCCTCCATTCTCCTCTCGGGATCTCAGGCACGAATGCACACGCGCCTGGCATGAGTTTAAGCCACCGGGTCCAGGACTCTAACTGTGGTCAACTACATGGGAGTCCAGTGACATACCCATTACGCTAACTGCTGGTCCCTTATATTAGCTTTTTCCAGGCTGGAACACAAACTTTCATTATTTAAAATGTAAGTCAGGGACCAGCAGGGGGTGTAGTGGTTAAGACACTAGACTCCCCCGTGGCCAACCATGGTTCAAGTCCCAGCCCCAGAGGCTTGAAAACTGACACAGGGCACATGTGCACGTATGCATGCCCCAGATCCTGAGAGGAGACCAGAAAAGAAGGGACTGCGGCATGGCCATCCCCAGTGGGACTTTTTCTCACTTTCTCCCTCTCTGTCTCACTGGCAAGTGCATGCGCCCTACAGCAAAAATCTCTCTTTTAAAAAATGTGTATGGCAACTTACAGGAATGAAGCAACAGGCCGAGCTAAAAATAAACATGCAAAGAATGCGCTAGAAATTTCAGACCATAGTTTCACTTCTCTTTCACCTGGCCTAAGGTCTGCAATGCCTTTCACAGGCTTGGCGGACGCGCCATGAAGTAGGAAGCGCGAAGTAACAGCAGGTGGCGCTGACCTCCCCAAGCTGAACGCGGTGTGCAGGAAGTGCAACCGCCCCTACCTCGCCGAGGAACAGGGAGACCTAATCTGCTTTCTGGGGAGCAGTGGCTTACGTACCGCGGCGTCCTGCCCGACAGGGGCTTCCGGGTAGCTCGGAAGAGGATGTAGCTGGTGATGACCGAGAACATGCCCCACAGGGACAGAAACCGCCACCAGTAGAGCTTTATGGTGAAATACAAGGGGATGACCCACAGCTGCAGCAGGGTCACCAGCTGCAGAGAAATGAACAGGAAGTCTCTTAATGACCGAGGGCCTGAGCTGCAGCTCTGATGTGAGTGTCCCTGGGGGAAGCCGACCCCACCCGGCCTGCCGGTGCAGCTGGCTCACCACCGCCCTAACCCTTCCTGCACATGCTACGGAGCGAATCCGCACAATGACCTGGGAAGCCTAGGGGGCACGGGTGGCATGGTGGTTAAGGTGCTGGACTCCCCCATGGCCCATTGCGGTTTGAGTCCTGGACCTGGTGGCAAAAAATGCAGTCTTCTCTCCTGTTTCCATCTGGCTACTTAAGATGGGGGCCAGCAGGTGGCGTGGTGGTTAAAGGTGTTGGACTCCCATATGGCTGACTGTGGTTTGAGTCCCAGACCTGGCAGCTTGCTTTCTCACTTTCCCTCTCTTCTCTCTCACTCTCTCTCTGGCCAAATTTTAAATAAGTGAGTAAGTAAATAAATAAAGTTCAATAAAATAATAATTTTTATTTTTATTTTTTTTTGGAGAGGTTTTTGCTACAGGGCGCATGTGCTCGCCAGACAGACAGAGAGAGACATAGAGACAGAAAGCGAGAAATCACCCCCCAGGGGGGATGGTTACCCCGCAATCCCTTCTCCTCCATTCTCCTGTCGGGATCTTGGGAACACATGCACACGCGTCCGGCGTTTTAAGCCACCGGGTCTGGGACGCGAACCACGGTCAACTACGTGGGAGTCCAGCGACATAGCCATTATGCTAACTGCTGGTTCCCAATAAAATAATTATTTTAAAACAATAAAATAAAGCTGTGTGGGACCAAAGTGACTTTGGACAAGTGAGTCTCACTTTAGCTGTACAGTTAGGGCTGCCGACGCTGTGTCCCTGTGCTGGTGAAGGTGGGGGTCCAATGGGGTCACAGTAAGAAGCCCTCTAAAATCTGTGTTCAACCGTGCCGTGTTTCCAGGGATGTTCCCAGCGATGTTGGAGGAGGGAGCGGCAGACTGCAGCTCAGAGCGCTCCCCTTCCTGCTGTCCTGGCCCCTGCAGGGTTCGCCCCTGAGCCCCAAGTAGGGGTGACCTAGCCCCCTACTGTTGCAAATGCCCAATATGCGGATTACACTCTCCTGCCCTCTGTGCAGGACCCTCTGGGGCTGTGCCACCATCCAGGGAGGTCTCCAGGGCACGGGGACCTGGAGCAGGGCCGTTGAGCTCCCGGGCTAGGACCACCAGACCATCCTGTGGCCTCGTCTTCGGACCAGCCCTAGCCCCAGCTCTTCTCTTGTCTTGTGAAAAGCAGCCAGGCTTAAACAATAGCAGTAACCTTTAGTCTTTTTTGTTCGTTTGGTTTTTAGAATTTTTTGCTTTAGGGCATGTGCGTTCACGGGAGAGAGAGACAGAGATGGTGATAGGGAACGTGAGAAATAACCCTGTGGGTGGATGGCCATGCCGCAATCCTTTCTCCCCCATACTCCTCCTAGGATCTTGGCATACATGCACACATGCCCGGGATGATTTTCAAGCCACCAGGTCAGGGCCTCGAACCGCGGTCAACCACGTGGGAGTCAAGTGACGTAACTGCTACGCACCTGCTGGCCCCAACCTGTGGTCCTTTACGGGTTACCATACTCAGCCTAGCCCTCTGCTCAGGGTGAGTATATGGGACGGGAAGGAGTGGGTGTCCCGGTGGACGTTCGCCCATCCTGATGGCACCCAGCAGGGCTCTGTGGAGGAGGCAGAGCCGGCCCGGCTAGTGGGAAGGAGGGTCCTGACGGGTTAACGACACCCGCCGGAGATGCGGGAAGGACCGTGGGAGCTTGCGTATCATACCTGTCATCCTGCGTATGAGCTTTACCTTCCTAATGTTGTAATAAGAGGGGAAAGCTTAGAAGAGTCAGTGGGGACATTTTTTTGGCTCTTTTAGTAAGGTCTGTGTGGTAACAGCTGAAGGTAAGGTGACCAGGTGGTGGTGCAGTGGTAACACAACTGGACCCACGCAGCAAAGGTCCTGGGTTCAAGTCCTGGGGCCTCCCCGAGGCGCACACCAATGTTCATGTGTGTTTTCCCGTGACCTGGATTAGCTGATATATATATATATATACACACACACACACAATAGTCTAGGGTCAATAATGAAAATTATTTGACAGGACTTGTGGCCACAACCATTCATCTTTAAATGTCAGGTGAAAAGGCATTCCAGGGTCTTCCTCCTCCTCTCATCCCCCCTCTGCACACCTGCACCTCTGACCCTCGCTGTTAACTCCAAGTGCGTAGCCCCTTCAGAAATCTCATCGGTATTTTGGTCATCTATTCCCTGAAGCTGCTGATGAAGGTATTCTCTGTCACAGAGTATACCTTTGCCGGTCTCCTAAAACATTTTTTCTCTACGGTGCATGTGATTGCCAGAGACAGAAGTGAGAGAGAGGGAGAGTGAGAAATCCCACTAGGGGCATGGCCACACATGATCCCTTCTCCTCCATTCTCCTTTAGGGATTATGGGCACACATGCACACGCACCCTGCATGGTTTCCAAGCCACTAGGGCTGGGACTCGAACCGTGCAATTAGCCAACTGTCCAACTGTCTTAACTACCATGCCATGCAGATGGATCAACCTGGCTTACATTTTTTTTTTAAAAGTTCACTACTTTGATTTTAACAAAGAAAAGGGACAGGAGCTCCATCTTTCAAAATATGATCATTTGTCATTTGCAATTTCCTTTTTCTGGAATATGAATTTGATTCATTTTGAGGCTAGCAGGTGATGTGGTGGTTAAGGCACTGACTTCCTGCATGACTGACCACAGTTCCCAGAGGCTTGGAAATCACCCTTGGTGAGTGTGTATGCATGCCAAAACTCTCAAGAAGAAAATGGAAGAAAAGGGATTGTGGCATGACCATCCCTGCTGGAGGGTAATTTCTCACTTTCCCATTCTCTGTCTCTCTCTCTCCCAGAGAACAAACACACCCTCTGGAAAAACCTTAAAAAAAAAAAAAAGATTAATTTTACGTGCCTTCCATGAAAATGCTGAAGGTTTTTGAATAAAAACTCGAGGCGGTTCATTTTAGTTCAGTGAAATGACTATGCTTTATATATTTCCTCCTTAAAGAAATAAACCCAAATTCATGACTACTGCATTGATTTAAATCCATGCAGTTACAATAGCGTGGAACTACGGTTGGACTACATTTTAATAAAACTAGTTTTCTCCCTGTGGATCTATAAGTATGAAACATTTCTAGAAGATTCCAAATATCTCTCACCTGATGCCTGGATTTAATGAACAGTGAATAATAACGTTCAATGTATAGACACGCTCCTTTTAAAAATAGGCATTGGAGATGAAAAAAATAGGGTTTGGAGATCGGTAATGAAAAGGAAGCCAGCAATTATTTAAATTTATTATCTATGCAAATACTTCATTTCTTAACTGTCTTTTTTTAGAGGTTTTTGCCTTAGGGCACATGGCTTCATGGAGGCAGAGAGCGACAGAGACAGTGAAAGGGAAAGTGAGAAATCATCCCCCGGGGGGATGGCCATGGTGCAATCCCTGCTTCTCCATTCTCCTCCTGGGATGATGGGGACACACATGTGCCTGGTGTGAGTTTCAAGCCACCGGGTCCAGGACTAGAACCATGGTTGGCCATGTGGGAGTCCACCTTGATGTAACTGCTATGCCATCTGCTAAACCAATTTCTTTCTTTTCTCTTTTTGAGAGATTTTTTGGTATAGGATGCGTGCACTTGCCAGAGACACACACACACAGAGAGAGAGAGAGAGAGAGAGAGAGAAAGAGACAGAAATCGAGAAATCACCCCCAAAGGGAGATGGCCATGCCACAATCCTTCTCCTCTTGGGTTTTGAGCATGCACACACACACACGCCTGTCATGAGTTTCAAATTGCTGAGTCTAGGACTCGAACTGTGGTTGACTACGTGGAAGTCCAGCACCTTAACTACTATACCACCTGCTGCTCCAATTCCTAAACTATCTTTAAAGTGTATATCCAGCACCAACTTTTCTCAACATGCAAAAGAAAGGGTCAGAATTTTACATTATGAATATAACAATGGTATGAGAAGTCATTTTGAAATGACGGCCATATTTCATAGCAATTTATAATAAAAGATTTTTTTATCAATTCCTAGAGCACTTAAAACCCCTCATTAAAAAAAAAGAATTAGTTATTTAATTTTATTAATTATTACTATTTTATTGGGTCATCAGAAAAGTCATGACATATTTTTCAATTTTTTTAATGCCGAAATGCATCATGACTTTTCCAATGACTCAATAGTATGTTTTAATTTCCTATAGGGCACATGCACCCCCCAGCGAAACATCAAGAGAGAGAGAAAGCGAGCAAGCAAGCCACCAGGTCCGGGCCTTGAACCGCGGTCCACCATGTGGGAATCCAGCGCCCTAATCACCACACCACTTGCTGGCCCCTAAATCCCTCCTTTATAAGAG